AAAAAATAAAAAGAATGTGATAATGTCTTTAAATGTTTCTCATACTTTTCTCGTCACAATTCATATGAAAGAAATACTCTACCAATGTCGATCATGTCTCAAAGCCTTAAAGTTGTGTTTGTCCTCTTAAGTAGGGCTGAGGAGAGACAGGGTCAGATGATACTAGGAGAACTTTGTCCATCATAAGAGGAACAAAATTACCAGAGGGGGCTTCCATGAAAGACAAGCTGGCATTTTAAGGCTTCCAAAAAGTGAACTGATGTTTGCTCTACAAAAATGAGACTGAGAGGTAGAGAGGCCATAATGTGGAGATACGGCAAAGGCCATAAGAAGGGATGTTTGGATCATGGGTCAAGTAATGTGACTGTAAGCTCAACTGGCCTATTTTCATTAACATAGTAAAGTTTGCACCTATTCTATCACGCTACACAAATACAATGATAACTTCTGGAAATTGCCTTACAGGGATAGAAAATGGGAAGATATTCCTTTCTGGAAGTTTTCCCTCCTTCCAGGAAAAATCATGAATATTTACCCCCACACCACTTAACATAGAATTGGAAAATCTATGTAAAGGGAAAGCATCATACTAAACCCAGAGTCTTCTCCACTTTAAAGATGTATTCCTTCTCTGGAGTATACAGTTCTCTGATAAACTTGGATCTTTTACATACATGTATCTACTTATTCTGCTCATTTGTTCCACTGTGTTAGTACCAACATTCATTCCTTGACGCCTGGGAAAAAAACACAAGGAACATATACTTGACATCCCATCCACATATGTGACATTTTGGTGCCAAAATTTGGGAGGAAAATACACATCTTCGGCAAGATAAGTTAATAGAACAATAAACATTAATTTATTCTGCCTGCTCATATTGTTTTTTTTTTAGACAGAGCCTCAAGCTGTCCCCCTGTGTAGAGTGCCGTGGCATTACAGCTCACAGCAACCTCCAATTCCTGGGCTCAAGCGAGTCTCCTGCCTCCGCCTCCCAAGTAGCTGGGACCACAGGCGCCCGCCACAACGCCTGGCTATTTTTTGGTTGCAGCCATCGTTGTTTGGCGGGTCCAGGCTGGGGATTCGAACCCGCCACCTTAGGTGTACGTGGCTGGCACCTTAGCCGGTTGAGCTATAGGCGCCGAGCCTCATATTGTTTATTTAACCTACTGGTCTGACACTGTCTTTGCTTTCCAGGTAATGTAGCTCCTTACCTACCCCTGCTTCATCTCTTTGTGTCTTTATCTCCGCAATGCACTTCATCCCACAGTTAGGCCTGATATTCAAAAGCTTAAAAAGTTGCCTGAGGCTCCACAACTGGAAAGTTAAACCAGATTTTTAAGGTCTTGATAACCAGAGTGGGGAGCAAGAGTCAGTGAGAGAAAGCCAGGCCAGCTGTAGGCCCCAAGAGCAGAAGGAAGTTTTCAAATGATTGCCACCACAAGGGAAGAAGGTTATCAGGGATAGAGTCCCTCTAGAGGCCCAGGAGAGAAGACACCAGACCTAAGCCCTGCCTCGGGGGTTCCTGGAGCAAGAAATGGCCCCAGAAGGGAACTGTGCTGGGACCATAGCCTCTTGTTGCATTTGTCATTGATTCAGCCTTAGAGGAGTTGGAGTCTCCTCTAGAGAGATGCACTGTTAGTGACATTGCCTTCTCCTGGAGACAGGGGATCACACTCTTCTTTTAGACCCTGTGAAATCCCTGAACCAGTATTTACCGTCTGGAGCTCTTTCGGTGTGGTGGGCATGCTCCAGCTTCTGTACAAGGTCTACTTTTTGATTCTGGGGTGGCCGATTGTTGGGGAGCCGTCTGCCTCTGTCACAGTAAACAAAGTGATGTTCATAATGTTAGAGCTACTCCTCTGCTCTCCCTGGATACTCAGGGCCTCTGTTTCCCTCTCCTAGGTCTGTCTTAAGAACAGAAGGTAAAATACAACCCCGCTGTGTCCTCTAAAGTCCATCACTGGCTGAAGATGTTTCTGTTTCTCCCTTTTAGTGCTTTCCAACTGCCCTTCCCAATGTTTGGATGAAGTTTTAACTTTAGTTTAGAGCCCTAAATTCTTGAATCTACAGGCCTCCTGTATTAGGCCTTTAGAAAGAAAAGACTTAACTGGGATAAAATTTTCTGTGAAAAGAGAAAAATTAAGGCAAGAAGAAACCAGTATGTAGGAGAGAGATGTGAAGAGAAAATGAATATGAAGAAACACAGGTGGTGAGGAACACTAAGAGAAGAGAGAATGATTTTGTGTAGGACAAAACCTAATATGATATTTGCCCAAAATTAAGTCATGGTTTAAGAAGCAGAATTTGGAACAAACATAGGGCTTCAGTATGTCAAAAGTAGTCCATAAAAGGCATATTTGCAAAGGTGAATTTATGAACATTTTGCATGTGAACAAGTGGGCCTGACTGAAAATGAAATCTGTAATTAAAACAACAAAGTCTTCTTTGGTATCAGACTTTTTTTTCCTTTTTTTTTTGAGACAGTCTCTATCACCCTCAGAGAGTGCCGTGGTTTCAAAGCTCACAGCAACCTCCAATTCCTGGGCTTAGGTGATTCTCTTGCCTCAGCCTCCTGAGTAGCTGGGACTACAGGCGCCCACCACAATGCCCAGGTATTTTTTTGCTGTTGCAGTTTGGCTGCGGACAGGTTTGAACCTGCTACCCTCTATATATAAGGCCGTACCCTACCCACTGAGCCACAGGCGCCGTCCCAGAATTTGTTTAAAGCTTCTACAGATTACTTGTATATTTCTTGTAATATTTCATGTTAATCTTCCACTATACAGTTAAAAAAAAAAAAAAGCTCTACATTTTCTTCTGCCTGCCTGAAGCTGCATTTGCTTAGTTGTGGATATTGAATTCAAGATTATTAAACTTCTCACTACTCAAGGTCATCAGTTATTCTCTTGACACTGAAGTAAAGAGAAGAAGGAGCCAGCATTGTCCTTTAAAACACCAGCCTCGGGCGGTGCCTATACTACAGTGGTTAGGGCACTGGCAAAATTTACTGAGTGTTGCCGGTTAGAACCTAGCCCAGGGCAACTAAAACAACAATAACAACTGCAACAAGAAATATCTGGGCATTGTGGCAGGAGCATGTAGTCCCAGGTACTTGGGAGGCTGAGGCAAGAGAGTCACATAAGCCCGAGAGTTTGAAGTTGGTGTGAGCCATGATGCCATGATACTACTGAGGGCAACTTAGTGAGACTTCTCAAACAAACAACAACAACAACAAAACAAACACTGGCCTCTTTTGCTCTGCTGCCTGACATTTTCACTCCTTCCTCTCAGTCTTTAATTCACTCCTCACACCTCTTGGCTTTTTGTTGAGATAAGATGACAGAACCTATATGCGTAACTCCTGCCACACTTGATCAACCACATATGTTTTACTTTCACAAATGTGGACTCTGGTCACACTGTACTATCTCTGGTTGTGCTACAAACTGGACACTCCATGCCTTTCTTGCTTGCCCATTTTGAGTTATGACTTTCTCAGTCA